GGGCTGCTCTCTCGCGGTTTTAAATTACCATTTTAATGCTGCCGAGTGCCGTTGATTGATGTGCTCTGCTCGGCTCGACAGCAGTCGACAGTCGACAGTCGCGAGTCGAGAGGCAGTTGGCAGCCAAAATGTAAATGGCTTTTCTGCAGCGTTTTTCCTGCTAACAAGCTTTTGGCATTTTGTCTAACGCGTTTTTTACTTCAAGGGCATAAAAACTTTAATGCTGGGCCATAAAGCAAAAAAACATCAATTGCCCCTTCAGTCACACAACTCTCTCTTCCTCCCCCGCTCGTTCTGTCTGTCAGAATACATATTAACAGCTACTTTGAGACACTTCATTAGGTTCTGTGCCGCTGCATCTGCCGGTGCCGCTGCCACAGTTGCTGCTGTTGTGTTGTCGATTTGAGTTTTGTGATAAGCCACTCGCCCACAAGACAGCGGCACTGGGCAGCACCTACCGCCCAACCGCCCGCCCGCCCGCCTGCTCTGCTCTGCTCTGCTCTTTGTTTGCCACAACATTTTGACGTGGCCGGCGCGCTGATTGAGCGCAAGTGCCGCGCTGTCTGACAGCCTGACAGACTGACAGCCAGATACTTTGGGCTTTTAAATGCGCTGCTTCTTTCTGCGCCCCCTCCGACTACTCCCATAAGTATTTATATATACATTTGGGCACATTTCTTGGAGTGGGCTCTTAAGCAGCTTCTGAATGATGCGACGCGCCCGGGCCACGTCAAAAGTGTCGTCGTCCATCTGTAGGTCCCTCTTCACCGCTACCTGTCATGTCTCCTGCCGTGTAGCGAATGTTAATGAGCTGTTAAAACTCAACGTTCGTCGTGGACACATCTCCAAATTAAAACTGCAACAGAGCAACAAACTGAAGAGCCTGAACTGTTAACTTGTTTGCACTTTATATTTTTATTTTATAGTTTTTCACGTTTATAAATAGTTCATTAGCCTGGCTACAATTGGCTTATAAATGACAAAAATGGTGGGTAGTGTGTAGGCCACTGATTGGATCTTTTGGAAAATGGACACTACGCTAATGAGGCTCATTTAGTAGGCTAATGAAAAGACAGTTGCGCTAAATTAATGAATCAAAAGTTTACATTTAAAATAATTATACGAACAGAGAGAAAATGAGTAAAATGAATGCAACTTCAACAAATAATTTAATAAGAATAAGGAAATTAGACAGTCGTCGTTGACTGAAGCTGGTTTCACAGTCGGATCGTAGTAAAAATGAATTAGCTTGCAGCCTTGGTGAAATGTTCACTGATCTGCATTTCCATTCATTGATAATCAACATTTTTGGACTCTTCGAATATAGTCCTAATATATTGATAGCACAACTAGAGTCAAATAATATAATACAAAACATCCGCTGGGCTTCTTGAGATATAAAACTAAAAAAAACTGCTGCCTCTTGGAGCAGAGCTTCCTGCGAATGGGAGCTGCTGTTGAAGCCTACTTGCTTTAAGCAATTATCATGTAAGCTCTTAGCTGTCAGCACCCACTAATGGAGGCCACTTAATAGCCTCTTAGCATTCGCTTCATTTAAGTAAATCACAGCAAGAGAGTCGCTCGTGCAGCTGGCTGGGCCTTTGTTTCCGCCTTTTCTGATACTACTATTCGCCACCAGACTCTAAAGTTTCGCCCCCGCGTTACGATTTTCTCAAGTGTCTCGCATGACAATAAGCCGCTACCCAGTTGAAGTGCAGAGTTGTGTGCCCCTAAAAAGACTGAAACCCAATACGCAGTTGATATTGTTGCGGAGTGCGCTTAAGCGGCTTCTGCATGTCAAGCTCTTGGGTCCCGGGTAAACAAATACTTTGGCGCCCATGGAGGGGATCTCATATTACCCACGGGTCTGCGAGCAATAATTTATTGGGCCAGAGTTATGGCTCTTAGATTAGTTGGCAGTAGCCGATGGGAAATTGGCGAGACTAAAGTTCCGTAAGTCTTAACAGGCTAAGGGACCTGCTCCCCAAACAATTTGTCTGCTCTACGAATTCCGTGCTGCTGTGCTAGCAATTACTTGTCTAAAATAATTGGCTATGCCGCAGAATTGAAAAAAACAAAAAAAAAAAAAAAACAAACATAGACCGAAACAGAAACAGAGAAATCCTGACCAGACGTCAAACAATCAAAAACTGTCTGCTGACTTTGACTTTGGCTTTGGCTATGGCTTTCAGTGGGGCTGCTTGTTAGGGCAGCGATTTCCGTTTCCGGTAGAGCTGTGCCTGGCATTGAAATTGAAAGAAAAACAAAAGCGTGAAAGGATTTAGCAGCAATCACAGTTTCAATATTAATAGTTGGCTGGGTTTTCACTCCTCATTTGCCCACCTTCGGAATATTTGGGGCTGCTGCTCAGCATTTTTGCTGCGTGGGTGCTTTTAGCTTTCGCTTTGTTTGGTTTTACTTGCAGCCCTTTTGACCACCGCAGACATTGGCTAAAATGGCAACAATATAGCAGCAAACAAAGCGCAAATCGAAAAAGGAACCTCCAATGTCCACACCTATAAAAGCGATTTTTATTTGCCGTCTATTACGACGTTATTGACTGACTGTTTGCCATTGAATGTTGCGGGCGGGGGTCAGGATCCAGCTGTGACCAGGAGCAGAACGAGCACGTCGTCTGCGGTAAGCGTATATCCCCTCCGAAAATAAATACAAATAAAAAAGGGAGCATAAAAATAAGTAATATTCGCCAACGCTTTCGTTTTTGCCCTATTCCCTTTTTTGTTTGCAATTTAACTTTCGTTTTCAATTTTCATGGCCCTTTTTTGCTGGCCTTTTATTTGCGGCCAGCTGAAAATTATGTAGCATTTGGATTTACTTGGGTTTTATACGGTTCCGCGTTTCCATAAAATACGTAAAAGCGTGTAAAATGCACCTGAGCTGCGTTTTAGAAATACCAGACAATGCCCAGACAATTCGGCATGGGGATAAGGTGTAAACAATTGTGGGGAAAAAATAAATCTTTTGTCCCATTTATTGATATTGGCAGCTTTTTTGTTGAGGGCGCTTATGGCTCCTGGGAATGTATAGAACATTTCAAATTTAAGATTTAATAAATGGAACCTTTAACTTATCCGTACACTTACATGAGCTTATATATGTATGTGTTTATAAACTGACATTTGCAATCAGTTAGATTTAGACTTAGTTCAAACTTCATTAATGATAAACCAATCACTCAGCAAATCAGTTTCTGTCATGTGGATAAGCAACTCCTAAAATTGTATTTCTGCTTGAAGACTGTAATAAGCGGCAATTATTAATTAGAATAATACTCATTAAAAACTTGCTGGGCCGCATAAATTTCAGCATAATTTGATTGCTGACATGGAAAAGCCAGCGAATGGGAGATGGAAAGCGTAACGTATTTTAATGAAATTGCCAAGAGGCAGTCAGTCGCTCAGTCAGCCAACCAGTCAGACAGTCAAGCCTCGTCAAGCCTTACTGTTTATCGATTACATCTCGTCATGCGTCAGAAGCCCACGCAGACAGACAAGCAGGAAGACAGACGTACCCACCAAAGAGGGTGGGTGGCAGACGAGGTGGGGTCGGCGGCTTAGCTCATGCTGAAGGCCACCAGCGGCTTAGTGTTTTGGAGTGTGGCAAATAAATTGACATTTATCTGTGTGTAACAAGATCAAGTATACGCAACATTGCCCTCTCGAGCTTGTGGCTGGAGTTGTGTTTGCATTGAGCACAGCTCAGCTGTGATTTTGTGGCCTACTCGCTGATACTTTTGCCTTACTTATGCATTTACGGAGCCCTGAAACTCAAACGGCAGGCGATTCTAATCGCAACACGGCGTATGAGTAATTTATATTGCGTATACCCGCTTTGACCTCGACACACGCAAACAAATTAAAACGGAAACCAAACTGCCAGCATATTCAAGAGCTGAAACTTGTGCTTCGCAGCTGGAGCCTGAACTGGAGATGGATTTCGACATGCATTGAGGTTCACGTGCGTCATGTTCTGCTTAGAAGAAACTACCGACAGCTACTTGACATTTGATTCGCCGATTAGTGCGTGGCAAGTCGCACTGTGTGTGTGTGCGTTTATTTCCCACACTATTTTGTGGCAGCGTCGCTTGTTGAAGCGCTTTTGAATTGAAATTGCAAATTTCGTTTTTATAGAAAAGTTTGCCAAGAAAAAGTTGAAGGAGGCTTCAGATTGAACTGATGGGAAGCCACAGCGAGGGCTACACTAAACAGACAATCAACTAAACTAGTTCATTTGGGCACAAAAACATTGAGTTGGGGTTTGCAGGTTCGCGATGTTTAACAGTTTTCTCTTCGCTCGTTAGAATTGAAATAATTTATACACGGAAATTGCACAGTTCCCCTCTTTTCAGGTAGTAATTGTCTCACAATGTGTGCGTAATTAGTTCCTTAACTTGCGAACTAGTTTGTTCAAAAGTCTTTCAATTGATTCACTTTGGACACTCATGCAGCCCTGTGTCCATATGCGTGTGGTGCTTCTTGGCGTTGGTTCTCAGCCATCGTGTTGCACGTTGCACATGCAACTTGTTGGCTGCCCCTTTTCGACGCAGTAGTTGAGTTGTTGCCTCAGTTGACAGCGCTGAAAACTTTGCTGACAGGCCAAACTGAAACTAAGTAGCTGCTAAGTAAGTTACCAACATGCAGACTTATGGTTAGTTAGTTTTACTATGCCATGGAAAATGGAACATGAAATCGGCCATCTGATGGCCCTTGATATACCTCAGTCATGGGCATAGACCATATAGATATTAATCTTGTCAGCCCTCAAGCCGGCAATTCGAATTGCAAATATATCGCATAGAAATACAAATACAGTTACCTGCAACTCAGCATAAAGTGGTTGCGCCTCAGCTTGTTACTTTAAACTTTCAATTTAGACTTATTTCTCACATATGAGTGCGTAATGCTCTCACACACATATATATACATATATTTGATTCACACAGCTAACCTAGTTTTCTCACACTTCTGCCTATTTTACAGAACTATGCCATAGATTCCTAGCAGACACCTAGCTAAGCAAGTGAACAAGGACTAGGTAAGTGAGATTCGTTTCATTTGCATTCCGTAGCGTAGCATTTGTTGTATAAGCCACAGCCTGCATAATGTAATTAGAATCCGGAAATCACACATAAAACCAATTTGTAACTTGATGAGCTGCAGAGCTTGGCAAATTTAAAGCAATTGCCATCAAATTTCCTGTCCCCAAGACTGATAGGACTTTAATGCAGCACGGAAATGCGCTCAACGAACCATAGACCAGGTGAATTCCATTTGCAAAATGTTCTTTCATTTCCGCAAAGTTCAAAAACGAGAGCAAAAACTCTTAGAAATGTTGCCGCGTCCATAGAGAATGTGTACAAGAAATCAGAAGGCAAGTTCTGATGCTCTAATAAAAAAATCCGTAAAAACACGGCATTGTTTTCAACCAATTTCCACTGAGACTGACTTTTACCTTACAAATAACATACATATAAAACCTGTTGTTATTCTTTTTTGATTACTTTTCACTCTTGTTGAATATGTTTCTGTTTGCGGTATAACAAAGCAACATGTGCTCGCTCAACTTTTGGCCGTCGCTTACATCTTAATATACCCCAACTTGCCATGAACATGGCTTTTAGCTAGAAATGAAAAAAAAAGACATTATTTAGTGACGAACTGTATTTTATTTCAAAATAATCTTCGCTTTCTATAAAGTAATTTTGAAATTAATCCCAATCATGTTAAAAGTGAAATTTAATACACAACTGTAAGCATCACATGGCATTTATTTTATGAGATATATTTTATTATATTTAATAACATATAGACAAGCCAAATAATACTAAATTACGAGTTTTGATATTTTTATTTTTTTTTTAGCATTTAATTCAATTTTTACTTGAAGTCATTTAATTCCCCTATTGGCCTTAGGCTAGTTCTTATCGAAATTGCTGTATAAACAAAAAGCTTACAAATGTACTCTACATTTCTCACTGTGTAGGTATTTGGCAGCATTGCAATCCGAAAAAACGACTGACTGACTTCTTACCACAAAAGTTGAGCTAATATGTGTGCACTCAACATGATTTTTGTTGCATTCCTCATTCTGCTGTGCTGTGTTCATCTGTAAAATGAAAAGAGATGTTACTAAATGTTGTATTTTTATACTGTCTGGCAACTCTGGTCGCCAGGCGACAAAATGAATTTAAATTACTTTTACGTGCTTCGGGATCACATTGCCCAAACTTGACGCAAATCATGAATAAATAAATTTTATGCGTAAATATAATTCAATTACCAAGAATATAAATACATGAACTGCGATCCCCCGTGACAATCTATGTGTGCTTGTGCCAGTGTGTGTGTTCGTGCTTGTATTGTGGGTGTATGTGGCGGTGTGTGCGTGTGTGTGTGTGTGCTTGTTGGGCACCTATCGAATAGCACACGAGTTGAGGTCGTTGTTAGGCAGCCGCTTTTGGCCATTTTTAAAATAAAAATCTGCCAAAAATGAGGCTGCCGATTCCTTTATCCATGCTGGGGACACTTTATCGGCACTTCAATGATTTTCATTGATTTTGTGTGTGTTATTTTTATAAACGTATTTTTTGCGTATGCCTCACACCTCTCCAATGACGATGGGTGGGTTATTTATTGATTTGCTTGTCCTTGGGTGTTTATGGTTGAAAATGTTCCCGGGAAATTGTGTTACCACCAGGCAAAAAACGGTGTTAAAAGATAATGTCGTTCCGAAATGAAGATGAGATAACTTACATATGTTGCGCCTTATCATGTGTACTTTTTTATTATTACACGCTATTTATTAAACTTTATAGTTTCAACTGTATACCTTCAACAAGTTTTTGAGCCAGCGGGTTTCTTCTGCTCAACTGTGCTCAACATCCCAAATCTGACTATCGATAATTCCTCTTTTGTAATAATCAACATGTCGCTCTCTCACTCTCCATCTGTCTTTTGGCAATAGCTTCTACGGGAATGTATGCAAAATTTGTATCTTCCATAAATACAATTTTCTCAGTATTTCTTAATTAGCTGCTTCTTTATTATTTAAGCATGTTATTGCAATGCTCCACAAAATTACGAACAATTTTCTCGACTGCACAGTCTCCTCGACTTCCATTGTCAATTTTTTTGGTAAAAGGTCCATAAATCACTCAGTGGACTCAACAGGTTGCCCTTGGCCCAGTCAGCCCCAATAGTCTGCCCATTTTTCAAGTGCCTGCATTCAATTAACAGTAAAATTTATGTATGGGGAAAACTCTGGATTCCGATGGCTCCATTCCTCCCCCTTGGCCAACACACACATTCAGTAGAAAATTGTTCGTATCAACTGCCAACTGCAATTAAAAGGCAATGAATTTTGGTCTCTCTCTCTGTGTCCATCTCTCTATCCCCCCAACCACGCTCTCTCGCCTTTGACTTTGCTGGCCTGCCAATGTGTGGGCGTTTCAGTGGTTGAAGGAGGCGTGGTCGTGCGTCTGGTCGCGTATGGCATTCGCCTTAAAGTAAAACACTTAACTTAAATTGAGTTCAACAGCTGGAAATAAACGGCAGAGTTTGGAGAATAAGAAAAAAAGACGAGCATTGCTTTAATTTTCGGCATTATTTTCGTTAGCGATCCCCTCGTGCAGCAAAGCCAACTGCCCCACTCCAAAAGCTGTCTCTTCCTCGAAGTGATTATAATTTATTGATTCCACGGGCAACGGGCAACATCTGTGCTGTGACTGTTTAAAAATAGTTTGTGCATGTTTTATGTGCATTTTATACATTTTATACATTTTATTTAAATTTTCAACAAAAGTTCTGTCTCCCTCCGCACGCCCCTGATGCTAGCTACCCTTTAACCAATGCCCGGAACATTAGCCAAAGCTGCTGTCGCCCTTTTGGCAACACATTTCACATTTTTCATTATTTCCACATTTTATGACAAAGTGGAATTTGAAAATGTCTCCATTTTATTTTTGTTTCTGCCGCCAAACGAGCAGCTGTCGCAGACACGCCCCCCCATCCGCCCGTCCGCCTGCCACCCACCACCTGCAGCAGCTTGCTAATAAAATTATTAACGTGTAAATTCCTGCGACTTATTTAGCTGCCAATTAATAAATTTTATATTCAGTTGCGAGTCGTTTGTTTTTCCTCCGTTTTTTTTTTTAACTTCTTTTGTTATTTCAACGCATTCCATTGGAGGCTGCTGCTGTTTCCCACCCCTCCTTCATTTCTCCCTCACGCCACACGCAATATGTGTCTGGCATATTAATGAGCATTTGTTACACTTCTCGACGGAAATTTATGTGTCCAGGTTAAATTCCTGGGATTTGTGTGCCGCTTCATTTCGCTTGTTCATTTGCTAGATTAATTTATGTTCCTGTCCGATAAAATTCTTACAAAATATTTTGTGACATTGCCAAGCAACAAAAATTTAAATTGTGTTTTTTTTTAACCCTTTGATGTTTTTATTTAGCATATATGATTACGTCGAATGAAAAAAGTTATGCAAGAACTCGATATGAATGTGTTTAAGAACGAGCTCTTCATATTGCCCAGACAATGGGAATTAAAGGAATGTCTATATAAGATCTATTAATATAAATTGAATGTAAGTTAATTAAAAAATATAAATTAAAATTTCAGAAATAAATCTTCAGCTTTCTGATTCAAAGTGTTTTATAGCTGAGAGCAAACTGTTGCATATGCCTATGCCTCGTTGTCTATCTCACCTCATATTAGCATGCCGGACACGTTGCTCGGGGAAACACTTCAATAACCCAAATGCTCGCTAGGTTGGCCATAAATAAGTAGACCATTCTCCCAGTGCCAACTGCTGAAACACGCCCCCCACATTAAACTTTGACCCATTTTGCAGCGCTCATTTGCATTCTGGCGCTGAGTCGTGGTCGGTGTTGTAAAACCCTTTTAAAATAATTTAAGAAGGAAATCTAGCTAAATATTTAACTGGCTCACACATGAAATTCAAGTTCCAACCCCAACCTTAAGCCTTCAGGATGGCAGCCTAGAGATTTCCCAAAAAAACAACAATGAGCACTCTAATTGTTATATGTTTATCCGCAAAGCAAACATGCCGGACACTATGAACTATAAGCACGCCGCAAAACCTACCCCAACCCTAGCCTCGCCACCTCAAGTGAAGCCCTGAGTCGCCCTTAGTTTCGCGCACGGCGCCATTGTGTCCCAGTCCCTGGCTCCGTGTTGGCTTTGGCGAATTTTTAATGTGCGCCACTAGCTCCGAAATGTATTTCACTTCATTTTTTATGTACGCGCCCTACGGCTGCCCGAAAAGCACAGTCCCCGAACTCCAACATTCATCTGCCAGCCCCGCTCAACCCTTCTAGCTGCATGAAAATGCTTGCCTTAGCGTCCAAAAAAAAGGTTTGCGTGCCAAATTATTGTGCCAGTGGCCCAAAGTTTTTTCTCTCCGGCTGACTTCTATTCCGCTTTTTTTTCTGTTGCTGCCATTTGGCAGCAGCAGCCAAAACGCAAAGTGCGTTGTACTCGACTCTTTTTAAGGCTGCCAGTAAAAATCAATATTATTCACAACCCGGCGTATGAGCAATGTGACGAGGCACTGCGGAAACGTAGCCTTCAGGCCACTGCCTCTTTGGCGAAGTTTATTATGTTGAATTTATAGCTAATGTGCTGGACATAGTTAAACGTAGTCACGTGTATTATTTAGATTTGCGATATTAAATGAATGTAGTTTAATTACAAATAATAAAATATTAAATGATTGAATAAACCAAACTTAAAGGCGAGCAGCCGACTTGAATCCCGAATCCAGGCTCGTTTATAAATATGCGATTGTTTATTTAACTGCGCCTCTTTTACATCTTAGACCATATTAAATACTTAACTTCAACTAAATGTTTATCAGTTTTACTGTGAAAAATGTCTTAAACTGATCGTTGTTATTTGGCACTCGTTTCAATTGTAAAACATTTTTATTTGCCGATGGTACACTTAGGCTTTAGTACAAATACTTGGGTATTAGCAAAAAAAAAAACAATACTGAAAAATACT